TCTGTTTTTATTTTCTTACAAAGAGTGGGCAAAACTCAGATTTTGGATTCATATAACTTTAGGTTTGTCCTAATATTTATCTCTTCTCCTGCAGTCACCAATCCTGTACAGATGGACCTTAGATAACAGCAGCTGCAGGTCTGCCTTAATCTTGAAGTTCAGCCGGCCTCGAGGCTCCCATCGTCCAACCAAAATGGCCGAGCCCACTGGGATGAGTCCCGAGGGCGGGGGGGCAGGTGTGGCCGAGGTCAACGCCTGTAGTTTGGAAATTGAGCGAAAATATGACATCATCCCGACCATCATCTGCTCCATGTGTTGCCTTTTCGGCATCATCTACTGTTTCTTTGGTGAGGACCGCTTTTCCTCACGGACACCTGAATATATTTACTTTTTTCACAGTTTATGAAGTATATAAAGTTCTATGTGTGTTTCCTGCTTTAGGTTACCGCTGTTTCAAGGCCGTCATGTTCCTGTCCGGTCTCATGTTCGGCTCGGTCATCATCTTCCTGCTGTGCCACAAGGAGCACATTCTGGACACTCAGCTGAGCGTGGAGGCCAGCGCAGGCATCGGCCTCGGCATCGGCCTGCTGTGCGGCCTGGTCACCATGCTGGTGCGAAGCGTCGGCCTCTTCATGACCGGCCTGCTGCTGGGACTCCTGCTGGCGCTGGCCGGCCTGCTGGTCACTCACCAGTTCTACACGCCGACCACGCTCTGGGTGCCTCTGGGCACGCTGCTGGGCACCGGCATGCTGTTCGCTGTGCTGACGCTGCAGTGGCAGAAGGTCTTCACCATGCTCTCCACGGCCGTGTTCGGAGCTGCCATCATGACCGTGTGCGCCGATTACTTCGTGGAGATGCTGGCTCTTGCCAATCATGTATATGACTGCTTGCGCCTCACGCCCGGGCCGGCGCTGTGCTGGTACAGCTGGGTCATTCTGGGCATCTGGCCCGCCCTCAGCCTCATAGGAGTACTGATCCAGTGGAAGATGACAGGCGACAGCTTCTCACACACGGAGGGTAAGGAAAACATACGGTTTGGCTGAGGAAATTTAACATCATCACAACTGTCCTGTTTAACTTTACATGGTATGTTTATGTTTTAGCCCTACCCACTTTGTTGCTATATTTACCGATTTTTCAGATATATTTTTTAAATCAACTGGTGATACGTTTAGCGATTGTTTTTCTGGATTGTTGGAGATTTTATGGAGACAACGCCTTCGCTTTCTCGCCACTGCAGTCACTCTGACAGCCGTCCATTCGACGGCATACCTGACAATAGTCAGAGCACAGGAGAGCCATTCCACTCCACACTGCACATAAATCACACATTTGCACTGATCGCCACAGCAACACTCATTATTCGAACTCCTCGCTGTCCACTGAACGGGGCTGTGTTTCTGAGTTAGATGGTTTTATACCCGACAAAGTTGGATCGAGCTGCACGCAGATCCATGTCTTGACTCTGAGTTATTAAAAAGGTGTTCAGCATTTCAAAATTCAGCGTTTTCCACTGAAGACAAAGATTGAAAACATACAAGCAAAACGGAGCTTTTTTGCTATTTTACATGAAGCCCTCGCATTGTCTATCGTACTCTCTCACAAACTGAACCACACAAATATCAGGAAATATCATTGAAGGCAATTTTCCTTTTCACTTCTTCTTTTTTCCCTGTGCTTCCTCTAACTTCACTTAAAATAACTTAGTAGTCTTCTTCACATGGTTACAGCATCTGCACAGATGAGGGTTGGTCTAAGTATCGATTGGTGACACTTACCACAGTGAGTTCTTTGACTGGTTGGTGGTCTGCTGGTCACAGGTTGAGACGGATCAGGCTGAAAATGAAATGATTTTGAAAACATTGCAGCTGGAGAAGTGCGCAGTAAAGCATCACGGAGGGTGAAAGTCAAGTTTGAGAGAAGTGAAGGGTTTCCAGATCACAATGTTTTTGGTACAGTTGAACAATTGAGTTTGTCTACAATGTTACTAGATAGATTTCCAATTTAAAAAAAAGAAAATCTGTCGTATCTCATGAAACATTTTATAGTTACATTTTTCACACTGGACAAATTGCAGGAATTCTTTCCGCTGACACTTTTTAGATGTTGCTCAAAACCTCAAACAGAAATATTTTGACAACACAAAACTTTTTTCTGCTAACCTCACAAGCTCTCTTCACACTAGAAACCCAGAGATTAAAACTCATTCAATATCCAAGTAAAGAATGAGGCAGTTTTATCACACGACTTATTGAAGAATCTTTAAAGAATAAGCTAATTTCAGGCCAGCGGAAAAATATCGCAGCAGTAATCTGAACTATTCCTTTAAAATACTTTCAGACGGTTTGCTGAAAGTATTCACGATCAATGTTTCGGTCAGCGTTTCACAGACACGATCGGTTTCCAAAGGCCGTTTTCAAGTTGCCCTTCCTCTTGCAGTTGTCATCAGCCGGAGACAGAAGCGGGTTCAGCTGATGCGGATTCGAGAGAAGGACGCCAAGAAGCGACAGCAGGCAGGTGGGCAGGAAGGCACATACCGCCGTAAAGCCACGCCAGTGAAACGTTACGCTGGGGATCTACTGGCACCGGTCAGTGTCTCCCAACAAGGCGTGTGCTGTAGTGACTTCTTTTTTCTTTTTTTTCCTATTCTCATTTATTTAAATAAGAGGAGCAAACATCTTTTATGAGTGGGGAATGTTTTCTGCCTTACTTCCCCTCCGTAACTCACGTCTCTCTGTATTTGCCGTTGGTCTTCTCAGAGCTACCTGCAAAGTCTGCGAGATCGTCAGACGGGAACAGGTACTTCCCTTAGCAGCCTCGGCACCACCAACCCGACCATGGTCGACATGGACTGCGAGACCGGATCCCTGGCTCCCCTCACAGCCACCACTCCAGTCGTCAGGGTCTGACCCAACGCAGAGCAAAAAAGGCGGGACTTCCTGATTCCTGGTGGGAGGTATCTTCATCAGGAGATTCCTTTGGTTAGGGATCTTCCTCACGCAGAGCAGCACATGCCAACTGCTCTAGTGACTCTTAATTGCTGTGAAGTAGATCTGGTAGCGAGGATGTGTTTCTTTTTGTTGTTTTTGTTTTGTTTTGCGGTGAGTCCTGTGTGTCAAACAGAATGCCACTGAGGGATAACAAGCATCGAACTCTGTTTTGATGGTGTTAAAACCACTATGACCACTGTGTTTCTCAGAGAAACAGTATCCAGTCGATACTAACAGGAAAAGGTCTCCCATTTCCACTTCTTGTGTATTTGATACACAGCAACAACTGGAAGCCTCAGAAACAGACGCATCTCTGCATTTAGTGTACTGTACTTCAGAAGTTAGCCATTACCACAAAGAGTTTTAGTATTACACGTCTTACATGCTAGTTGGGTGGTTGTAGGATTTGATGAAGTAATGCGTTTGATTTTATGTACTTCTTTTGTTGTTATAGACGCACCAATCTTTTGTTTTTCTGCAGATTTTTTTTTTTTTTCCAAAACGTCTTTGAGTTTCTGTAAAACATGTACTGCAGGTTCCTCGGTAGACGTTCCAGTGTTGAATTTAATAGAAAATAAACAGCAAAAACATCCCCATTTATTCGTCACAGCACTTCCCCTAATGTTTATCTGAACTATTCTGAACTCCCTAACTTTTATCTGATGTTCAGCGAAAAACACATCCAGGTACCTGCTGTTGGTTTTGTTTGACTTGCAGCCTTAAAAATTTAAATATTTTCAGTTCTTTTCCACTTAACTTAAAAAAAAGGTATTTCTTTATCCATTTATTAAATCGTAAAAAAAAAAAAAAAATCCAAAATGTTTCAGTATTTGAGCTGATCAAGAAAAATTGACTGATTGTAATCTTTAGATGATTTTTAAAAAAAGACATTTTAATCATATTTAGACATTATACAAAAAGTTGGTGTGATTAATAATATTTTGGTGGAAATATTGGGCCTTTCCTACGTTCGCATTCTTTTTTTTGAATTTGGTTTAACATTTTACTGGAATATTAGAAAACCCTGATCCACAAAGTTCTGAGAAGATTAAATCACATTCACACATCAGAATGTCGACACTGTTCTGTTTCATCTGCGCCAGTGGATTAGCATTAAATTACTGCATAGACAGTGTTTTTAACCCAAGACGGGTCATTCACTGACAAAATGCATGTGGGGAAGAAATGGTTGGCTTGTTCAGAATTGCTGATCAGAGCTCAGTGAAGGAAAATTAGCTCATTTCCAATATCTGGTCGATTGATTGGTGCATCTCTGTTTGTTTTGTGATAAACGGTGAGATGTGATGCGAGTTCATGGCGTCTGACAATGTAAAGTATGAGAAATCTGCAGAAACTGTTCTTCAATCTTTTCTGCTGGAGCCTCCAAGATCTGTTTTAGATCTACCGTAGATCTGTTTTCCTTTTCTTTCTTGTTTTTACTGCAATAGTTTTGGTCAGAACACAGTCAGTAAAAGATGTATGCTCATGTTTTATAAACGTAATTTATGTGATAATCTAGTACCTGGTAGTGTTTTTTTTTTAAAGAGCAAAACTGCATGTTTGAGAGTTTTTTTTGCCTTTTTTTGTAGGTTGTGTTTAAAGATTTAATGTTTCATTTGTTGTTTTTCAAAAACAGCACACTTGTTGCCTGTATGTGTAAATACTTGTTAATAGTTTTCACAGATTTTAATAAAAAAAAACCAGTTTTAACTCAAAATTTGGCTCGAATGTGCAGCACTGTTTGTCTCCTCTGGTTCTTAGCAACTCCGGCAGCATTACTCACTGCATGTTTCATCCTCAATAAAGAGGTCATGGGGAGGATTTCCTACCCTCTGATTGGTTGGAATTGCCATGGCGCCTCCAAATTTTTTTTTTTTTTAGTCTCTTTTTTTTGTGCAGACAGCACAATGCAGGACAGACCGTTCTTTCATCATTATGAACGTAGCATAGTTGTCTGATTTTTATGTAATTACGAACAGCTTCTTCTGCTGACAGAGCAAAACGTTTGCGTCGTTGACGATGTCTGTTTATTTAATAAAATCTCACATTTTCTCTGTAAAAATAATAATAATAATCTGATCCAAAACATGCACAACATGCAAGAAATAAAGCCATAATGTAACATCTTAAGAAAAGTGTTGCAACACATAATCCAACACATATGTGGAAGAAAAAAGGAAAACAGATGGCCTCCATTTCTCCTCAGGATTATACTGAAGCTTACATAATTCATCAGCCTGTGGAGACTCTCTGCTCTCCACGAATCAGCCTGAAGGGGCTCAACAGTAATGAAATCCAGTGAAGTGAAGTCAGTCAGTCTCTCACTATTTTTCACCCAATTCACAGTCACTGATGTCCAGGTTTATTAGTCAATGCCCTCGGATTGGAGTCAGAGCCCTGTCCTCTAGTTGCTGCTGCCCCCTGGTGGTGGGTCGCTAGCATCTCATCCATCGCTTCGCCTTGCTCTGCGGGTACCACCTGTCCACTGTCAGCTGCTCGTTCACTCGCCAGTAGTTGTCGCCCTTGAAGAAAAAGATCTTTCCGTTGTCCCAGGTGAAGGCTGCGTCAGGAGAGGACGGCAGGCCGCTGATGAGCCTGCTCAGCGGCTTAGGGTGGAAAGACAGGTTGGGTTTCACCTCGTCAAACTGCCAGTGGTCCGACCCCTGCGGAGACAAAGAGCAAAAGAGTCAAGGTTGTTAAACATGAAGGCTTGTGCATCTCAATAAATATCTTCTGGGTTATTTCAGTGTTGCGGCTTTCGGCTGAATGAAAATCTCAAATTCAGTGTCTCATAAAAATACGTCCAAAATCAAAGGGGGAGACTGTTGACTCAGTCACTGACTCCATTCAAAAGGAGAGTCGCCTACAGAGAGCTGGGGAAACTGACTGCTCGGGGAGTGTTAATGGAAAGTTTAGTGGAACGAAAAAATGTGGCGAAGTGGACCGTAGGCAAATTCCATTCAAAGGAATTTACGTAGCGGCGTTTTCATTACGAATGTGCATAAATGTTAAATCTGCTACTGTCAAAAAGCACAATTTTGCAATTGCAGTGTCTCCTTTAAATAAAAAAAATGAAATCAAAATCACACAAACAATTTATTTGTAATGAGTTTTAACAATAACTCATTAAAAATAATGGTAGCCACATGCGTGAAGAGTGACATGAGATTATATTCATAATTCAACAATAATTCAATGATTTTACAGAAGGATTGTGGATTCGACACGTTGGAATGTGACGTTTCTCATGAACTGTGATAACTGCCTACCTTTATGAACACGAGCTTCTGGTTAATGTGCAGGTACAAGGCTGCGTCGATGTTAGGAGGGACGCGCTTGACCTGTTTGGGGTAGCCGTAGTCAAGCGTGAACCTGGTGTACCGCCACACTTTACTGCCTGTGACCACAAAGAGTCCAGACGTTTAATGTTTAGAAGCAGCAGCAGCTGCAGAGCAGAATGAACCCAACAGAGGCTCAGAAATGGTTGTACCTTTAAAGAAGTAGGTCTTGTTGGTTCTCTGTGAGTGGACGGCGGCGTTCAGGCTGCCCGGGAGTTCCCACCACAGTCTGTTGATCCTTATGGGACTGTTGTGGCCCATATCAGAGATCGTCCACACATAGTCCCCACTGAAGGCGAAGGTTTTGTCCCATGGTCCTGAGTAAAACAGATTCTGGTATTATTATAGAATCTGTTAAACATTTATGTATAAATCAACTAACAATCGCTTTCGATCGAGTCAACAGTGTCCTGTAAGTTTCATATACTTTGAAAATAGAAGGAAAATTTAATATAGTTCTGGTTATTTTCAAGGTGACATACCCAACATGATGGCATCCAGGTCTGCAGTGCAGGGGTCCGGTATGGGGCTGCCCTGCTCCGGGCTGCCCAGGGTCGGTGTACTGGACGTTATGGTGCTGATGGGTTTGCCTGCAACACAAATTGGAATCTAAAGTTTGAGGAAATCATAAATATTTCCCCTTTTCGACATCTTGGGACATGAAAGTAAATGATTTGCTCTCTTGAGTTGGGATACGATTTGCTGCTCATTTAAATGCTCGCCGTCTATTTGAAGGTTGATTCACTTTGTCAGAATCGTAATAATTATCGTGAACCGTCACAGGAGCTCTTCTCACTGCACTCACCGTAAAGTGTCTGAATGCCGTTAACGTCGTCTGAATGCAGCCTGAAGTTGACGCGGTAACCAGCGTAAACCGGCGCCATCAGGGCGCTCCTGAACTGGGAGTGGCCCAGTCCCAGAGCGTGGCCTATTTCATGGGCAGCCACGATACGCAGGTTAGTGCCGTGGTACGATGCCTCCGTCCAGAACTCGTCCTCGTCAAAATGGACGACGCCAGATTCTGGTGACTCGGCATGAGCCAGTACGCGACCTGCAAGGACCAGCCACACACGCACGCACGCACACACACACACACACACAGCAAGATTACGTTCCTGCTAAATGGTTTGTGAGGGGAACACAAGTGGATCTGGAAAGGGAACAGACCCCGGCCGTCAAACGGGACTGGGCAGAAGCCGTCTTTCTTATGAAAGGAGATCTTGATGTCTGCTCTGCCAAAGTCGATCTCTGTGAACGTCAGATCAGCCGCGTCGCTCCAGTATTTAAAGGCAGAGCGGAGGGCCTTCCTGACCTCCGACCTCACCATGTCAGGTGTGTAGTTATAGATGCGGTAAGTGAGTCTCTTCCTCCTCCAACGACCTGAGAAAAACAAGAATCCTTTACTGTGAGTCGCCATTAAAACCTCGTTTGAAGGAAGTCGCACCTTTCATGTTTTGGAGCGACATATCGCCAAACCTCACAGTATTTCATCAGGATTTTATTTGAATCAAGTGCAAAAGTAGTGCACAGTTTAATGGAAGAAAATGATACGTAGGTTTCATATGTTTACAAACTGAAACCTAAAAAGTGTGTGATGCGTTTGGATCCAGGCCTTTTCAGTCGTCATACTTCAAATTACATCTGCAGAACGTTTGTGTTATGTCTCCACCAGCTTCGCACATCTGGAACTGAAATCTCTGCCTGTTCTTCCAAGTCAGAGTGGAGTGGACTCTCAAAAAGACTTAGACCTGGACTTTGACTGGACCATTTTAGCACATATCTGACTGCCTCTAGTACGTTTTCCTGTCCTGTGTTTAACTCCACAAACTCCTCTTCACCATCTGATGACCAAAACAATCCCCCACATCAAAACCAAATTAGAAAGCTAATTTGGCTTGAAGCAGGTTCGAGTACTTGCTAAAGGTACTATGTTTTCTGAACCTTTACTTGTTTTGCAGTGTGATTTTTCTCCAGCTGTCCAGTTTATGACTTCAGATTCTGCCCCTCACGCAGCGACTGAAGTTTTCAGACTAAAACGAACAATTGACTCACCCATCACTTTGAACTTGTGTAACTTTTTGTTGAACGGATCCTCCAAGCCGCAGCGGGGCTGCCTCATCACTCCAAGCGTGGCTCCATCTAGCTCCCCAGTAGGGGGCAGCTCATTCACCCCCTGGAAGACTCTGACCAGACAATTTGAGACAATTAAACGTCTGCAAACTGATGCTTGATTGACGCATTTGTTGCTTGGAAATGCAACGACAGGCACCGTTGAGTTTCTTGTGTGATTGAAAGAAAGCAACAATAAAGTCACCTTAGTGCTTCAATGACCTCCTCCAGGTAAGAAGGGTCCTGTGGGTCAGCCGGGTCATTTAAGTAGCCATACTGCTTTAAATACGCCTGTATGCAGAAGAAAAAGATACACTCACTTCACAAGAAGTCATTTCTACATTTGGAAGACGGAGGTAAATAAATGTGTACTTTACCTTTGCTTCGTTCAGCTCTGTCCACTCCACCTCACACAGTGCAGCTCTGAGGCCCAGCAGCAGCAGCAGCAGCAGCGGCGGCGGCGGCAGGAGTCCTGATCCGTCCATCATCAGGTCCACAGGTCCGGTCCCGCGGATCCACAGCCGGCGCTTTACGGAGTGAGAAGTGTTCAGCAGGAGCCTCACAGCAGACTCTTTGTGTTCCCGGGCGCTGCAGCCGTTTTAACTCAGCCGGGCGTGAGTCAGCCCCGCGGCTGCGATGATCCACCTCCGAGGAATGAGAATTACAAAGAGCAGCCAGCTGACCTCAGCCAACATGTGTGCAGTTAAACTGCAGCTTCCCCTCGCGCCGCAGAGTTGACCCAGTTGTCTGAGTTGAGCTCCGTTTAGAGGGAAGTTCTTCCCGAAGACAGGCGAAACAAGCAACGTAATCTCCAGAATCACAGGGTTTGTGTTTATTCCCCGTCGTCCTGGATATGATAATGATGGGCCTAAAACACAGGGTAAAACTCCCCTTCTGTCTCCCACACTCCTGTTTCAGACCAACAAATATGTATGTTTTCATCTGGGACAAAGCATTTACTTCTCTTGTTGACAAAGAACAGTGTTCTCTCTTTTATACAGACATAGATTTGTGACGTACGTGCATCATGCGTAAACACAACTTTACAATAAAAGCATTTGGTATGATTAAGGTCGAATTCATCGACATCTAGAAATGCAGCTAAAACAAAGTACAAAATGTACCAGGATTTGCTCCACAGGGGGTCAAAACTGACATTTTTTCCCCAACATTTGAACCGAATTGAATCTGCAGTTTTTATACTCCTGGGGGTTTTGTACATATTAACATGCTACAAACAAAAACTTCAAGCAGATGTACCGACACAAAGTGATGCACAATTGTTAACAGAACTGAATACGATTGACGGTTTTCAACATTTTTCTCCAATTAAAAAAACAAAATCTGTTCTGCATCAAAATTCAACATGTTTTCCTACATGATTCACTGTATCTTTCCTATCAAGTCTAAGCAGCTTCTCTGTCCCTGTTGACGAATAGCCTCTACACAGGGCTCTGGGCGACCACTGCCGTGTGTCGCCCAGATGTTCAGATCGCTGTACAGGGTTAGGTTTCCTCTGCATTATCTTTTGCTTATAGGTCAAATCGTTCACTTTTGTTCTCGTTTAGCACTTTTCCAAGTTTTCTGCGTCTCCTAAAACTTTTCACAGGTATATTGAATAACTGTGGTAGGAGTTTGAGTTATCCTCCATTTTCAGACGAAAGATTTAACAGTTCTCCGAAAGATGTCTAAAGCTTGGATATTGGATATCGGTAGTTCCTAAAGCATTTAAGGGTATCAAAGTAAAGAGGCCTGGAAACAAATGGATGCCAGTGAAATTTTGAAAACGATGTATATTTCTCATTTTACTTCATATTTTATGCATCTGGATGTTGATTCTTTTTGGCATTGTCCATTTTAAAGTTACCAAGCAGAATATGGTCAAGTTTTAAGGCTGTTTTGCTATTTAATTTGTGAATTGTTTAATTTTTTTGATCATCACTGGTCTTGACTGGTTTTCTTTACAGCAGCAGCAAAACACATTTGGGGTGAACGACAGGGCGACAATAAAACACATGGAAGTGGTTTCTCAAGAGGACCGGTGTAGGCTGGGTTTTAATTGCCAAGATCTTAAAAGTTAACAGGAAGAGACGCTGTTATAAAAACCACATGTCCTGGTTAATGAGTTTCTAAGTACCAACAAGCAAAAGTGCTGGATCGCTCACTGCTTCCACCAAACAGCCAGACTGTCACATAACTATTTAGGGTGAGAAAAGAAGCACACGATATTTACTGCTTTTATAATCTGCAAATGTGCACCGAAAGCCACCAGACGGAGAAATCCAACGAGGAATATCAAACAGAATTAATTAAAGATGATCATCGTCTTCATTATTTGTTTCAGATTCCTCCTGCAGCTCAATGCAGCTTGAATTTTACTGTATCCATGTTCAGATCTGACAAATATCTTTCTCCCATAGTGTTGTTAACTAAAGTCATCTGACCGGCCTGATTCTTGTGCATCTTGTGACGTCAAATCAAAGCTCCCAACCTTTCCTCCTTTAAAACACCTTTTGTATTTGGACGCACCACAGTAAAATCTAAAATGAGCTGCAGTTTACAGCTCATTTTATACCACAGTGTACAAAAACTAAACGTCACTGAAAAGCATTTGCAGGTTTGAGCTGACCGCTCTAATGACACATCTGTGTGACTTGGAGAACAGTCAGTTTTATGTTTCCTGTGTCTGACTGTGTTACAACAGATTAGAGGAGTTAACAAAAAAGCAGAAACATGATTTTATGTTTCATAAAATATGAAAGCTTAATGCTTTTCTATTTCTCTACATCTCGGTGAGTAGGACAGCAACACAATCCCCTGCAAACACACACACACATGCATACAGGTATATTCAATATATTTTTACTCGAACTGGATTATTTGCAGAACATCTCATCTACACTTTATTGTCTCAAGATACATCGGAGCACAGATTTAAAATGAAAAACATTTCATTCATATTTTTTCATTTCATCTACTAGTCAGAAATCTAAATGTGCTGCAGCTAAAGTTTTGTCACGATTCACAAATTAAATTTTCCAAAAATAGATAACTTTTTTGGTTTTACGTTTTCAAAGAATCTAGGACACATTTCTGGCCTCAATTTATATATATTACAAATATATATATTTTTAGAATATGTATGCAAAAAGTTTGTTTTTTTTTTAACTTTCAGAAGTTATAAATATTCTTTTTCTTGTCTTCATAGTCACTCAGGGAAGTAAATTACATGTTTTTGAACTCATCTGCTTTGCATCCAAAGTTTGTGACTATTTTTTATAAATTAGAAAAATATATTTTCAATTTTGCACGTTCGCCTGGATCTATGCACACTTCCTGTTGCTTCAGGAAATGATCAAACACCTAACTACTGATAAATATTCATTAACAATTGTAAAATAATGCACAATATTGCAATTGTAGCAATATTTTATCAACCAGCATTTCCGGTGACATTTGACTGTATAGTGAAATTTATTTTAAGTGGTATTTGACATAAACAGGACTTTCATAACTGAAGGTGAGATGGTTACTTGATTGTGCTATAAAATGGCACTATGAGCCTGGAAAACACATAACACTGCTCCTTTAAAGGACTCCGACGTTCTGGTAAAACGAGAAAACCTTCTCCCCCAATTCCAACAAATAATTTACTCCCACAATTGTTTCTTACAACTTCAGTCACTGAAAAACATTTACAAGTTTTAATTCACTAATAAAGTGACACACTTGCTTTATTGAGAACAGTCAGCTTTGTGTTTCCTGTATTTGTCAGTTTTATGGCAGCAAACTGGTAATTAAAGGAAAATGTACAAAAAGACATTTTTTCTGGAACAGTGACACAAAAAAAAAAGGCAGAATTTTCTATTTGATTTCCAGTTTTCCAATTTATCTCAAAGTTTTAAAGAGCAGAGAACGGTCAAGCATAAATCACCATAATCTCTCTTTTGGTTATCTGCAGAACATTTCTGCTCATCCAAACATTTCTTCTGCACCAGTCACACAAACATGCATCACAGAACTTCCTGAATGTTTCCTGATTTATTATGTTTTTCCCCGAGTCTCTCCCAGTCCCAGGCTCATGAGAGAACATCTGGACTGAATCATGTCCAAGCCGAAACAAAAACTCAGTCATCACAGAGATAACACAACGGCTTTGCTCATCAGTGACTGGTCATGTAAACGAGTTTTAAGAAACTTTGCTTCTTGCCTCCTTCCCAACATCAAACATCGAGAGGCTGTTTAGGTTTCAAATCCAGTTTATCCCACATATTCAGAAACATTTTTTTTTAAACTACAAATGGTCATATGGAAAGGAATAAACAAAATCCTGACCACATTTTATTGTAAACATGTGTGAAGTGAGCACGTTTTTTATTTTTGAAATTATTAATTCACAAACGCAACAAAACAAATGAAAAAAAGACACTTAATATAAATAAGTGCATAAAAAGATGACTGCACAGCAAAATATCCTTCCATTCTAAAGTGTTGTTAGTAGAAAACATTAAGCTTATCTTACTGAGAGAAATTATGAAAAATAAAATGTACCAGGTATATAAAATGAGAGTGCGAATCCAGGAGGTGCTGTTTAGTTTGGCACCATGACAGTTTTCACACTGAGCAGCAACAAAATCAGCAGAAGGAAGTCAGTCAGGTTGGAAGAAAACATCATCTCCGCTATCCTCAAATTCAAAATGCACAGTACGCATTTTAAAAGCCCTGCTGGATATGACACATCAGCAGGAAACCATTTATAAATGTGACTCAACAGAACAAAAACACTTGCAGTTTCATGAAAATGTGCTCCCTTCTTTCTGAAAACTGTACATTTGGCTCAACACTTCAGGGCCTGTTCAAAAATATTCTTCACTGCCAAGTCAAAAAACAACTTTCTTTAAATCCATGCTGGTTTCCTCTGGTGCTGTGTCATAAATACACATGACAACCATATCAGGGTGTTGTACCTTACATGAGTTCACACTTTTAGTTATGACATCAACACAGTGTTGGCTAAAGGTGTGTTGACAATGAATGACCTGAAATATTCCCATTACAACCAAGAACAAGTTTTTTGACTGGTCTCTTGTGTCCTTTTATACTGAAACATAGCTTGAGATGAAATACTTTTTAATCCCCTACTTTGAAAAATCTTGGGCAGAGACTTTCTTCAGTGCCAGTTTATAAGCTAGTAGGAAACCCAAATAAATGTTTGTCTCTTCATTTGTTTTCTCAAACAAAAGTAATTTTAAAATCGCTTTTTTACAATAAAAAAACAGTCTTTGTGCGCGGATCACATTCCTCTGATCCCCGCACATTGCTTTAGTGCAATGAAACCTTGAAACACGTTGAAAACAGGCCGATTATGTGGAAAAAAAGTGAGACTTGCACAACCACTGGATGCCTCACAAAGTGTGCACTGTCTGATGAGAGTTACTGAGAGAGGCATGCTGATGAACGCAAGTGCTCAAAGTAACGATACGGGATTCTAACACCAACACTACATGTAAATTCAGCAAATAAAAATTTGAGCTGGAGACTTTCCCATCGCTACTTTTGTAGATATTACATTTAATAAGCAGTAGTGTCAACAATAACGCTAAATAAAATATGTCCTTAGAACGTTCCTATTTGAAGAGATTTAAATATATAACCCACCACATGATCAGAAATAGAGGTTCAATCACAAATGCTGAGAAAAATCACTTACAGAAAACATTAAGCTCTGATCTAAGAAACAAATTAAGCCAATTTTGTATTGAACGACTGATTTGTTTCTTTTTGTTTAGTCATTAAGTGAGTCAAATCCAAGATCTCTCAGCATTTTCTATTATGACTATATTTATGGTCCAACCAGCAGCTCTTTGGCCCCATGAACAACGGCTCTGACAAGTTATTAAGAACTCAGCCATTATGTTACAAAGAGGCATTAAGAAATTCCAGTTTTCCAACATCAGAGAGAATCCCAAACAAATTGCTTTTTTCTTGCTCAGTTACTTTATGTTGTAAATTACGTGCTGTATTTTTTTTAAAAAATGTCCTTTTTTAACTAAATTAAGAGATGTTGCTAAAGTTGATCACAATAGAGTCAGTAACATCAGTTGTTAAAAACTAAAGATTTTCAGTAGTCTCTGATTCACCCTCGTCAACAAACAGCATGATTTTTCATATGAAATCGTTTTTAAAAATATACATTTATAAAAAGCCTAACTTGTACTATCAAAGAACCAGCAGCAATTTTCTTGGTTTGGGCCTTTAACAAAGAAAGTCTAAAAATGCATAAAAACCCAGATATCAGTATTGATAAGAAAAAGCCTGACCTCTAATCCGTACGTCACCCTGAACTTCCTGTGCGGCACGGTAGATACGGTTTCTATGTTTGACTTTATTCATATAAAACTTTCATTTTTCAAATCTCCCAATCAACAAGATCACATAAATACTTTGTAAACTTCAGACAGATTCTGTTAACAGTGCAGTCCGACACAAAACAAAGCCCTGTCCTTGATGATGAGTTTTGGGCCGGGCCTCCCTCTAACCCTCGGTGACCTTGACCTTCACCCTGTGCCAGGCGTTGTTCAGCAGGCCTCTCAGGTTCCAGATGGGGGGGATTGTGTCCGGCTGCCCGTTGTAGCTGTTATCCACCGCCTTGCAGATAATCTCCAGCTCGTCAGCGTCAGGAGGAAGAGGAGCGGTCAGCTCCCACAGCTTCCAGGCCCAGGCCCGACCCGGAGGAGGCGAAGGCTCGTCCGGCTGACCTTTGTCCCCACTCCTGAGCTGAGCCACCTGCCACGTCTTCCCTCCATCCAGAGAGACGTCGACCCGCACTACCTCTCTGCCGCCGCCACTCCATGCGTAGCCCTTGACGGTCAGTGTTTTGTCGCTGCGGTCGATCTCGGCTCCGTCTGCCGGGACGGTGATGGCGGACTGAACGGGCAGCTCCTGGATGGCCGGAGCGGACTTGTGGTCGACCTTGCTCCAGTCTGTCCCCGGGGAGAAGCTTTTGTAGTCGTGCTGCTGCCAGTGGCTGCCGCTCTCCTCTGCGCTGACCACGATCCGCCCCAGCCACTTCACGTTGCGCGCTCCCACCACGCCCGGAACCACGACCCGCACCGGGAAGCCGTGGTCAATGGGGATATTCTCGCCGTTCATTTCGTACGCCAGCAGGACGTCGCCGTCCTCGTTCATGGCCTTGTTGATGGGGATCGAGGCTCCATATGCTGACCCTGCCACATCTTTATCCAGTCCTTCAAAGTGAACGTGGCGGGCCCATTTAGCCACTTCTGGGCCAAACCCGGCAGCCTGTAGAACGTCTCTGAGCCGCGCTCCGCTCCATTTGGCATTCCCAATAGCAGAAATGCCCCAGTTCAGTCCTTTCACCTCCTTTACCTTGTTCATGTCACTGCGGCGGTTCCCGGCGCACTGCAGCGTAGCCGTGATGGTGTGTTTGGGGAACCGGGTCTTCAAGTCCTTCAACGACAGAGTCAGCGCTCCTCTGGGCAGGCCCTCCACCCGGAGGCGATATGAAGCCGGGTCCACCTGAGGAACAGGCAGGTGGTTCCGCTTGAAGAACAACACCTGGGGAGTGATGTAGTTCTCCGTCAGGATCTCAGGAGGAGGCTCGGCGTTGAACGGCTTCTTGCTGTTGACCCGGAGCACCGGGTGGCGCCGGGGGTCCGAAGAGTAGGGGTCCGACGTTTTGGCATCGTCCTGCTTCTTCACGTCCTCTACACTCAGCTCACCAACCTTTGTATTAACAGAAAGGTTACATTAAAGCTGCAGTAACTTTAATAAAATATAATTTTCCATATTTGTTCAAACTGTCTCCAGTTTGTGAAGGTTTGTTATGAGACAGATAATCTGTGAGATTATTCTCCTCCAGCTCCTCCCTGAGCCGCTACTGCCATCTGAAGAAATGCACAGCTCCCGACCAAAAACAACCAATCAGAGCCAGGAGGAGGGTCTTAGTGTTGTAATCAACCTCACAGAGAAACAATTTACCGATGCAAAAAAACACAAACATTTATCCCACGTCATCAGTGGCCAAGCTAACTAGCCTGAATATTCATAGCATGCTATGCTAGCTGCTGCAAAGGGAAGGAAGCATGAGTAGCACAGCATGGAGGGTGATTGACAGCCCTAAGACCCTCCTCCTCGCTCTGACTGGTTATTTCTACATAAGGAGGAGCAGGGAGAAGGCAGAGGAGCTAGATTTGTTTCACAGATTATCACTCTGTCATGACATAGTGACGGTTTTAACAACTCCAGGAACCAGCAGGCATTTCAGGTGAACTTTCCCTCTAACTGGCACAAACTGATGCTCCAACTTCAACTCCAAACAACAGATTTTGACATCAATTTTTAATGTTTTAAAAACAGGGGCATTATGCGAGATCAACTTTATTTTTGATGTGTGCAACTTTTTTGTAACATTACTTAGAAATATTTCCTCTTTAATGGAGTTTGCAGTTTTCTGTGCTTTCATTTTTCATTCAAATACATTTTCTTCACTAAATAGACAATGGTTATAAAGTTATTTCTTATAAATGTCAAATTAGTCATTGTTGTGTCTATCTTACAGGACTGGTCACATGTTTTCATACACACTCCATGGCTCCGAGTGTCATTAATTATGGCATGTTACTTAAGGAATTTAACAATTTGTCATTTTGATGGCTCAATTAACTTTTTAAAGATGACGAGGAGCAGGATTTATTGTGAATTCTGTTTCATTCACAAACTTTCAGCAAACTAGTTTTGATCTTATTAACTGACCTAATTTGACCCATCTGACATTAAATCAGCTTGGTCTGATTTAATGTCAGAAAGAAGGTTGTGACTTTTCAGACAGATTCTGTAAATATCTGGTCAAAACTGTATTTATTTAAACCTGTACTTATATTTTTTTTCTGTAAAGACTGACAAAATGATCCCTTTTAAAATTGACAATTTTGTTGAATGATCACTGCACCTGCATGGTTTTCAAGTAAAATCAAGTTTCAGATAATCTCCGGCATTTTAAATGTTGAAAAGAAAACCAACACAGATGTGTCTAACCTTATATTGTGAGAGGATCTCCAACACATATTCCTGGTCATGAACAGCATACAGGGCCCAGAAAGGTTCAAGGGCACCACCTGCTGCTAGCAAGATTTTATTCCCACCAGGGTGTATCGGCACAAACTCGGTGACGTCATAGACGCCTCCTTTGTACGTGACCCACACGCCGTCTTCCAGAGAGCGGTGCTTTGAGACTTCGTCCAGGCTGAAGACGGGAAGAGAGGAGCTCTTCTCTGTGGTGGGCAAGCCAGCGTCTGCTTGCTCAACCTGAACAGGGACAGAGCCGACATCCCTTTATTTAAAATGATACAAACGCTCAGAAACGTCAGCTTGGACTAGACCAGCGGCTAATTTCAGTACGTAGTGATGCACACTGGTATCATCCAACACGTAGATCTATACTGAATCACATTTCCTGTTTAAATTTACTTGCAAACTAAATTTATTTTTAACTTTACTAGCCAACACCCTTTGCACAAGTAGTTCGTAGTAAAACATATGGCTGAAAAATGTATCACAATATTATAAGGATATTAGATTTCGTTTTAAATATCTGAAATGGTGTCCAACTTATCCACAGTTTCCCCTGTTGTACTTCTCGTCTCCTTTCAGTCCACTCCGTCGTTTCATTTGTAAGCAAGCAAGTGGCAAAACCTTAAACTGCTGCTGTGCCACTTACTCAGCTTGTTGCTAGGCAACCACAAGTTACTCAACAGGTTGTTGCTAGGTAACCAAAGAGTGAGTGAGTTAGTTGAAGCCACACACTTTGCTTAGCAGCTAGCCAGGAGAGTGGTTGGAGTGACGGTCAGTGAAATGATATTAGATGTATTATCTGTTGATATTGATCCCTGGTCTGTTCTTATAGGCTGTTATTGATTTACTGCGAAGTGAAACATAATACTAATGCTGAGTCAATCATAACTATGGCCCACAGGATCACTTTGATCTCTAAGCAGCTTCAAACTCGAGAGTGGTTAATGTGTCTTATGCTTTTCTGAAACTGTCATAATCCCCGAAGGAACACAAGGTGAACAAGAACATTAAACGAATGATTTACCAGGATTAGTGAAGCTGCAACAAAAAAAAATCTGTAAACAGAAATGCTGTTCAGTTGGCTATGGAGAAAATTTCGGCCACTTATTTGAATCATTAGTTTGCACAACTTTTCCCATTTCTAGACATCTTAAAATACAACATTCCAGCATAAATCTGTAACAAGTATTTTAACAATGAGCAGGATTTAAATATGGAAAACACAGACCAGGATGGAGAAAGGACAGGAAGAAAGATTGAAAGAAAGAAGGCAAGACATGAGGAAAGAGAGAGAACAAAGAAGGACACAAAGAACAAAGGACGGAGACAAGAAAAGACAGCAGAGAGAACATAAGGATAAAAAAAATAATAAAAAATCAATGTATATACCAGGAAGAGAAAGAAAAGGAAGAAAACAAAGACACTACACAAAAAAGCAAAGTATGAAAATTGTAAGGTCACGTAGAATAAGGTATAGAAAGAAAGAAGGAAAGAAGAGGGAAAAGAAGGAAGAATAATAAGAGGAAAGGTGGATATGATGAGTGAAGATTCAACAAAGCAAAAAAAAAAAATGAAAGAAGGTAGGACCCAAGGACTGAAACAGTATAACAAAGAAATCTGAAAATGCAAACAACGAAAAACCTATATATTTCAGCAACATAGCACAACTTCCTAGGCTTTAACAGATTGCACACAAACCCTGTGAGAGTGTTTACTGTCCAGCTTTGCAGCAGATAAAAATATGGTTAAAATGATGTAACCAAAAAACAGACAAGTGGACTGGAGAGAGTCCCACCAATAAATCTGCTGGTGATCAGCCTGATCAAACCTGGTCAGCGGAGGCACGTCTGAATCCTCCAGAAATAAGAGCCAGGAGTTTAATCCTGCTAAAAAAACAGTCTTTGGTGAAGAAGTTATTACTGACTGAAAAGAAGGTTGTTTTTTTTTCCTTGCTGCAAATCTTGCCAGAAAAAACACAGAAGGTGTAAAAATAAATGTAAAACAAAAATATATGAACTACAAAGACATGCCAGCATCCATGACTTCAGTCAGGGCAAAACTTTTAAACGAGATTTAAAACTCATAATTAAATAATTAATGACATCTAATGGCAGAAAAGCTTAGAAAAAAAAACCTGTGAATGCAAAAACTTGTACCAACCACAAAACAAATTGTTTTTTTTAAGCTACAAAGCATTTCTGACCTCTTGGTGGAGTAGACCATAGGTCAGTACAGCCCCAGTACCAGCCAGCACCCCAGCAGCAATACGTTTCCAGTTGGCACTCCAGTTGGCACGCTGGTATGATCTCTGATCCTCCCTGCTGCTGCTGCAGAGACGAACTGCACGAGATGCAAAACAAGGAGCCGCCTGATGCCTAATAAAAAAATAACAAAAATACCATACGGATTGAACTAGCCTCTCCTATTACTTATATTTGATTTGATGTCTAAAGCCACATTTTACAAAGCTGAGATAAAATGTAATGAAAACAGCCGACCGTGGGGTTGCTGCTACATACCCTTGAGTGCCGACAGCGGCAAGTCGCGTCAGGCTCTGGCAGCGCCTAAGAAGCAGCATTGCATTGATGTCCTGGGAAAACATCAATGCAATTAATTAAGTTCAGAGATAAAAAAAAGAGATACACACTCACATAATAGCCTTTGTTTTAGAGAATTATATATAATCTCTGCTCAGCTCAAAACAATCTGATTTAAAAGTTTTACACAAAATGACCTTCACTAGGAAGAACTGTCCACAACACAGAGAAGCTTAAAGATGAATGAGTTTTCTCGTAATGCTGCAGTCAACCAAGCAGCAGTAAAAAAAATTGAAAGCATAGTCGTTGACTTTAAACCTTCACACTTGTGTACACAATGTTCGGTTTTGAATGTTCGGTTTTCAAATCAGCATTTAAATTCTGACCAAGGCTTTGCTCAGGAACACTTTATTCACCTTTTCAGACAAAATGTGCTTTTATTAACAATCAAACTGAACCTTTAAACCTTTACCTCCTACTGAACTGACCAATCAGCCGTTACCTTAACCAGCTGGACGAGCCAACCAGCTATAGGGGAGTGAGCCGCAAAGAGAGGAAGCGTTATGCCTCAGGCACGTCATTTACAGTAAACAAAACGAGACTACACACACAAACTAGTAACTCTAATTGAATTAGTACTTCAATAAAGTACATAAAAAAGTGAACAGTGCTGTTTTCCCAAAAATTTTTAAAAAAAATCTGTGGCTGACAGGAGGAATGAATCTGTGTTTCTGCTTTTCTCTGGAAATAGAAGCACAAACTTTGTGAAAACCAGCACTCTCTCTTTAGGCTCATAAAGCAGCTAAAAGAGATGCTCTGCTTTATCGGTGAATCACACATGTCTTATCTCTGTCTGCAAGGCCCATTAAGATTACACAGGGTTATCTTGAAGCAGTTTTTACTGAGATAACACATCCGTCTGCAACTTTATACCTTTATATTTTTTCCACAGCAAGCATGATAATGTTATTACCCATATTGTGAACCTCAGAAAGGCTACAAGGTGAAGGCTGAAGACTGACAGATCCAGTTCATCTTCATACCTTTTAAAGGCCAGAGAACATTCAGAACTGTAATGATTCAGGACATTAAATTTACTCAACAATAGGTTAGAAAAATCCTTCAGTTTCTTATGTGCAGACTCTCAGGTGATCTCTGAATAAGTGGTGCAGATTGTTTGAAAAGTCTATCACTCACTCCTTAGCAACAACCTGTTGAGTAACTTAAACAGCAGCAGTTTCAGGTTTTGCTACTTTGCCTCATAAATCTTGAAACGTAAAATGAATGCCGGTGAGTGAAAGATGAAACTGAGTACAACAGCTCGAGGGAAAATGTTGGATAAAACAGGAAACGCCATGCCAAAGGTTTAGAAGCAAGTTGGATATTTGAAACAAAAAAACTAACCCATAATTACCGATATAGACTGCTATAACATGCTTATATCGTCCAGCCCCATTTCTAAATAACTGACACCACAGATAGACTGATCCTGACAAAGAAATAGCAGCTCCTTCACAACAAAGATGATCAACACTTTTAGGCTCTCGTGGAAAAACCAAAGGCTTTCAAGACAAGTCAAATATTGATGCATTTAATCAACAAGCCAAGAAAAATGAGACTTTCAAAGAAAAGCAAAGAACACTATTTACTATGGTAGAGGTTACATGAAGCAACCTTATCCTCAACCTTGCTTGGAATTCAGTGAATTCTTCCAATTCTGCAGAGAAGAGTGATCAATTATCCCGCCAAATTTAAGCCACAATCACGTTAATGTCTGCAAAAAATGTGTTCCTTTGCAACTTCCAACAAGACATTTAATGGGCCGAGTGGAGGAGATACTTGCCTGATCTTGCCAGACAGCTTGTTCCACTACCGACTCTTGGTGTGATTTTTAAAAATGATTAAAGTTAGCAGCAGTGGGGCTGAGGTCAGAACTGCAAGACAGGAATGCAATCATTTGTACCCCCTAATTCTGGAGGTCTGAGATAAATCCTCCTCTGTGGGAGGTGTTCGGATATAATTGGGATTTCTGCTGGTCACAAAATCATATCTAGACTCCAGTGATGAAAAGCCTTGTTTTTGTCAATGTCTAGTCAGCCCTCAGCATCACACTGCCTCAACCAAAAGCTACTCGGCATTGACAGAGAGGATGTCTCCCGTTGTTGTTAAAAACACAAATGCTCTTAATTTTTGTGCTCAGTTAATCAAGAACTTTAAACTTGTGCGTTCTAATGTTTTTTGTTACTTTGTGTATCTTGAGCAGAATATTGAATATAGCAACAAGCCTCAGTTGTGCACCGATTCATTGTGGAGCATCATTTTAACTACAAACCGCCAGAAAACCAAATAAATATCAACACAAATATCAACACTGTCCGCACTGATGCTAATCATAAACATGACCCGGGCGGTTCCGCTGAGGTTCGGAGATGAAGAGTCCGACAGTAAACGTCCTCACTGACGTAGCTAGCGAAGCTAACGTTAAAACTAGCCGCTTCATCCTTTCTGTTAACCTAACGGCCGACTCCAGCTTCCTCCACCCACAGCGGGACACTCACTGCTCGGTAGTCGGCCCGTCGTCTGCTTCTTCACAGATGATTTCCACGAAGCTCCACCGAAGTAACGCCTGCTTCTCCGACTGAGCGTTTCATAACAGCGAAGCGAAGCACGAGGAGCCTTTACGCGCCGGTACGGCTGGTCTCAGAACAGCCACGGCGGCGCGCGGCGACGTAACGACGCAGCGCGAGGACAGCGGCGTAACTGAACCCAGATCAGCTGTAACGCGGTGCCCTATAAAATACAGGGAGCGTGACGGAGGTGGCACGCTTTTGGCACAGCTTATCCCAGAGCGGTTCTAATTAAGCAAACTCTTCTGTTTTACGTGCAACAAAACATTTGAACGTTTTATTACCCAGAACAAGTATGTATGACTTTGTGATGAGAAAGTAGGGCACTTATTTATCAGCGCTTATTCTGGCTATTTTTTTTTAAATAAGGTGACATTAATCTAAAAGATCAGAACAGATCATATCACGCATTTTTTTTGTTTATTCTATATGCAGCCATGTGCGGACACAGATGAGTAGATCATCTGTGTCCGCACAGTAACTTAAAACATCTGACATATTCATCCAGTGTGGTGAAAGCCAAAGTACAGTCCATCTATTAGGGTGTGAATCAACTACAAAGCAGGTTAAACAAGTACCACAACACATATAACCTCATGATTCTGCTGTCCAATCCACAAATGTCATTTTTCTTACAGAGAAAGCACAATTTTAAGAAAAAGTACATGGAAAAACCTCAATGAACTTTAAATTGCAGCCTGCAACTCTAACGTTTTCTTAACTTATTACATTGTAAGCATGTCACATGCATTGATGTCCATTTGCCTGAGACAGCGAGAAAAGGAAACAATTACAAAAACAAAATAAAGCCTACACATTTGTACCTTTTAACTTTGATGCATGACCACAATTTTCTATGCGTTTTATTGGGCTTGCATGCCACAAATCTGGTCTTTATGCAGATTGGCAGGAAAGAAACCATATCTGACAGAAATCCAAGTTGTGTTTGTAATTTTCCAAATCACAGGAGAGACAGAAAGATTGATGGAGATAAATGCAGTTAGAAAACATGTCGGAGGTTGTAAAAGACTTGAGACTGCGGTGGAAGATCACCTTCTGGCACACAGGTAACGCCAGGAACAAAGAAGCTGCAAGACGTCATCGGCAGGGAGTTTGTCAGTCCTGAAGCAGAAAAACGACCTTAAGCATAAAGTTAGAACTCTATTAAGGTTCATTCGGAGGCAGCAGCTTAACTGCAACCTTCAGTCTGACTGATAATAAAGTTATCTGAGCATATTCCAATGCCAGAATGGCCCAGTCAAAGCAAGACCTAAATCCAGTTGAAAATCTATGGCAAGACTTGAAAACTTTTGTTTATAGACAATTTAAAAAAAAAAGAGAAAAATTTGAAAACCACATATTATTTTCCTTTAATCACAGTAAAATCACAATAATATATATTTAGGTTTGAAATTGTACTGTGACTAAATAGAACATAAAAAAACTTTTTATTCACAGAGAAAGCTCTCTGAGATAAAAACTTTAAAAACTTTAATCTAACCACATGGAACAGCTCCAGCACATCAGCTGCAATATTGTAATTTCTTATTATAGTAGCAGAAAGGATTAACTGGATTTATTACATTAATCTCAATTTACAGAGAACACCGTAGGAATGAAAAGACAAAAAAGAGTAGCAGACAAAAGCGGTCTGAAACACAAGTATTTACTATTACACTATAGTAAATATATACCTGAGGTACAAATAAAAAGAAATGGACCTCAGATTAATGTACATATTATGAAAAGAGGTTATAAATTTGTTTTATTACCACTAAACCAATATATGCAGCTGTCTCTGTGCCCTCTGTGTCAGGGCCCTGTGAGGGCCTCGTTTCTGAAGGTTTAGTGATTTGGAATGACACACATCTGACAACTATGTGCGTCCAGATCGGACCACGCTGTTGCGTAAACTGTGGCTCAGGGTTGTCTGTTTCCATTGTTTGACTTAGCCGGGCTAAGCTGTGCCACGTTTGATGAACCCAGTCAAAACAAGTCTGAAGACTGTCGACATGGCAACAGGGGATTCTCCAGACGGCGCCCTGATTTACTGTTCTTTACGAATAAAAGTGGCAGCGACCTCACTGACTGATTTCAAAGCCTGAAATGTTGGTCTGTGAAATGTTGGTCTGTTTGCAATCTGGACAATGAAAGCTTCAGTTTTCCCTTTGGTGGTGGCCTGCCATCTCTCAGCTGAGAGACACATGAATCGGGTGCTAGGAGAAAACATGTTTTAGATCTTAACACTGTTGAGGTGTGTGTTATTCCAATTCAGTCTATAAATAATAGTTTATAAAGGATTCAGGTTACAAAATAGTTATATTTAAAGCTAGAATGGTTTCATTTTACCTTCAAAGTAAAAAGACAAAAAATAAATAAAATAAAAAATTTTATGCAGAGAAATGTCCCAATCTGTATGTTAAAACTTGGGATTCAAACTATGATTGTGAAACCTTCAACCATTTTCTCTATTAGTTTCTTTGGCGCCCCCACGTGGTGAAGTGCATAAGTGACCTGAAGCTAGGTTCTCATAATTACACAAGAGGCACTAATGTTTCCAGTGACAGGGCAAAAAGGGATTTGATTATATATATATATATATATAATTTTATCAGTGTGAGGCAGCCATTTTCACTAAAACAGGCATGAGCCAGAAAGGAATCTTAAGGCTTTTATTTTGAAATTTTCAGTAAGCCTCGTTTTAAATGTCCAATCTAATCATATGAGTAACAGTGATTGGGTTAAATCAGTTATAAAATGCCCCAAACAGCAATTGATATAAAAATTGTCAAGGCTTTTATTTTGAAATTTTCATTACGCTTAATTGTTAATGGCAACACTAATCCCATGTGTAACTATGATGTTTTGAAATCAGTTCTAAAATTCCCAAAAAACAAGTACTCCTCATAGCCAGCTCATTTCTCCACAGTAGTAACGGACAGTTCTGCCATGCTGTAGCTCTGACTTCCTCTGGAGACAATTAGCTCTGACTTCCTCTGGAGGCACGGAGTATTCCGCCATGTTGTAGTCCTAACCTGCAGTCATTGTAGTTCTAAAGAGAAGGTCAACTGCCATGTCACTGTGACACACAAAGAGAGACTTAATTCTAAATGCTTGAAGCAGTTAGTTTTTGTAAAAGGCCTGAGAGAAATATTCAAGCTTTTATTTTGAAATTTTCATCAAGCTTAATTTAAAATCGCCATACTAAGTCCATGTGTAACAATGTTTGGTTAAAATCAGTTATAAAATGCACAAAACACAAGTAGTTCTAAAGGCCAGCTCCTTCCTCAGAGCTCTGCCATAGTAAAAACTACAGTGATGCGTTTTTGTAGTCCTAATTAGCTGCTCGGCCCTGCTGTCCTTCGTTGCTATGGTAATGGATCCTCTGCAGCTGTCATGTGTGAGACAGAAAGGTGGAGAAAGATTTCTATCTTTGTGAGACACCCAGTCATTTTGATTGAAAAAAAAAAAACAGGACTGGAGTTGAACGTATCACGTTTCCGATACGTATCGGAAAACCGTTTGAAGCGTATGACAGGGCTATCTTTCGTCTCCGATAGTCTAACGATTCATATCTGTACATCACTCACAGTAACAGCGATGAGATAAAAATGGTGTGCGCTGAGGTCTGACATTTTTCAGAAATACATGGAAGTGAACCTGGCTGAGCGTGTGGAAATCCTGTCGCATGACTTCGCTCTGAAGCACCTAGACAGAAAACCGTAAGCCCTAGAAAAATTTCAAAAACATTTTACCGGAGAATGCATTCATATCGATGTCATGACCGAGTTTGATACCGATAGGGCGATATTTGTGGGCGCGACAGCGATTTCAAAATTTATTTGGAGTCAAAAATCCACTTCATTTTTCACTCTAGCGGAGCGGCAGTTGGTGGCAGTTATTCTCTGCGTTTCGGAAGTTGGAAATTTAGCTTGTTTTTCGCTTTTTACGTCGCTGTCGTAATGCCGATTCCCCATCAAAGTAATAGCTCCAATGCCGGGATCGAGCCGCACGTTTTGATACCACTTTTGTGGATGGGCTCGCAGCGATGCTTCGTAAATCAGTCACTGCTCTCCTTATGCATTGCTATGGGCACGACCCAACAAGAGGGGAGCAGGAAGAGTGAATGATTTCTGAAGAATCACCAAAAATGGAAACGATCTAGCACTCCATGGCTCTGAGGGCAAAATTAGGATTTGTTTCTACTAACGACGGCATTTTAGCTCTTATCAAGACCTTTGGATCATTTTTGAGTCCTGATTATTTCTATTCATATTGTACGAACCACTTAAAGAGTAGTCAACTATTTAGAAATGTGAAATTCTTAACCACTAAACTGCGATGAGGTAAATTGACCAAACAGGAAGAAGAAATTATTCTTTCAGATGCGGATCTGACTCTTAAAAGCACCAAAACACAAAATAGGGCATTCGGTAAACAAGTTTATTATTTTTAAAAAAAAAGCTTGGTGTGAGAATTTAAATACAACGTTCTGAAAAACTGGACAGAGCAGGACTGAACCGTGAGTGTCAGCATTACAAATAAAATATCCACACAGCACATCAAACATGTTGCTCCAGGATTCAGTCTGTTAAAGAGTTTCACTGAGGGTCACGGTTATTGTTGAGTCCTTTTCCTCTTGGCCTTTCACTGCTGTGTCATCTTGGCAGCTTCAGCTTTTATCAGTGAGATGAGCTCCAGGTTTATTAGGAAGACGAAGCGAAGGCCTGCAATCTGAAGAAACAAATTCATTAGAGACATTTGTCATTCAGCTTTAATTAAACATGACCTGGCAGTTCAGCCCTTTATCTTTATGACTCACCTGATGTGAATAAAACAACAACCTTAAAATAAAGTCACATTTTATTACAGTGGCTGAAATAAATTGGGGCTCTGTTTTAAGTTATTGCCATGTCCCATGGAAACAGGACCACATGGATTAATGAAATATATACATACATATATTATTAATCCATGGTGTATATTATGTAACTGAAGGTTTTATCAGTCCATCCAGAATTTTGCGATTGTTTTTGTGATTTTTTTTTTTGCAATGCAAATTGAAAAGTTTTTTTAAATATTTGCAAGGAATTTTGTGCAATTTGCGCTTGTAAATAATAGAACATGCAAATTTTTGTTATTTGCCATATTGATCAAAACCATCACTTCACATCAAGTAAGGCTGAGGCAGAAGCGTAGAAGTGGGAAATGCTGCCACCTGCAGGAGGGAATTAGACGTCAATCAAACTCAGTGTTTTTGACAGTTTTTGAGGAAAATCTGCAGGGCTCTGTTGATTTTCTGTAAATCTCTATGATTGTGGAAGACTTTATACTCATCTAGCAGCAATAAACCTGCAGGGCGCGGTGTAAGGCTCTCTACACACCTCCACCACTGAGTTGTTGTTTAGCTTCCACTTGCTGCCTGACAGAACCGGTCTGCCATCAATGTAGATGGGTCGCCTGCCCTCGTTAGCTATGAAGAAGTCTCCATTATTCTTCAGTTTGATTATTCCTGTCAAGACAAACAGTCGCTGTTAGCTCTGTCACCGCTAGAGAAAAAGCTATATTTTCACATCGTTTACATTCAAATACACATTAAACAAATGATGCTCGTATTTAGGTGCAGTACTTTTACCTGCAGCACAAATGACCATTGAGCTTTCAACTTTTTTCCATTCTTTCTGTCGTTTCTCGCAACCAACGTGAAATTTCAATCGTTCTGGTATGACAACAAGTAGAGATAACTCACCTTGCTTTCTGGATATTTTCCAAGCGGGCCCCTCCAGTGACAGATCTACATCTATCTGCTTGTCCTTCGTCGCTCTGCCCAGTGTAATCTGAACGAACACAGTTCTTAAGTCTCACAGAATAAGAACTTAGAACAACAAGAGCTGTCAGAAACGTCTTCCCACCTCTCTTGATCTCATGAGGTATCGCACCATTCTTCCTCGTAACGCTGCCAGTGTCTGATTGTCGAAGTCGGGCATGCTCATCCCTGCAGGTGAAGGACAAGAGGAGTTTAAATTAATCTATGCAATTCAGAATTTACATCTTTCTTTTTCTTTGTGAAGGCCACCAAAAAACTTGAACGTGTAACTCTGTAACGTTACAATCAAGAAGTTTAAACGTATTTTATTGGTATGGTGGTTAAGAGAAAGAAAAATGATACACAGCTTTCAAAACTTTAACAAACAAAAGTCTAAAAAGTTGGATGAGCATTTTTAATCAAATTCAAAACTAAATTTTATTTCCTTTTTATTTCCCATGATGATTCCTGAGTCTTGTTTCTGGTTCTACTGCTGGCTTGTCACTCAAATAATACGGAATCCAAACTTCAGTTGAATCCAAACTTCACTCCATCACTATGCTTTATTATATGATAGTTTTAAATATAAAATCTCACCAAAAGTAACCAACCTGTGATGCTGTCCACTAGAACCTGCCACCGAGGCAACTCCTGCTCCAGCTGTCTGATCTCCCGTTTCTGGTGACGGTCTGAAATCATCAGCTCTGAAGGGAAACGGCAACGTAAACAATTTCAACGCAAACAATTTCACAAAAGAGAATCATCTCAACTACAAACATCTCAGTCATTTGCCTTCAGTTCAAAATATAAAATATTAGAGTTAACTTTGCATTTAACAATCATTTCGACAGCAGGTGGGTTTGAATAGGTAATGTGCAAAAACAAACTGGAATGAAGAGAAATATATTTTCATATTTTCTTTCTGTACTTGGAAAAATATTGGAATAAAACTCAGAAATCCTGAATACAACCAAGTATCCGAGCACAAATCAGAGCAGCATCAAAATATACAGACGTTAATTATAAGAGAAGAAATGTACCAAAGCTAAAATTTCTGAAAAGGGTCAAAACAAATAGAACACGAGAGACGTACAATTGAACAAGCGAGGAACACAAAGCATCCGTCAATAGCTGCTGTCAGCAGAGAGGCGCAAATATTTACTTCCTTATCAAGAAAGTGAAGAAATGGCTTGGACTGATGTAAGGTCAGACAAGAAAACCTTTCACAAAATCCAATATTTTACCTCTCCTGCTACAATGTTAGCTGAAATGAGCAACTTGATTTCTTACCGTGTTCCAGCACCTCGTCTCTGCTGTCCCTGCAAGAAAGCAAAAACAGCAGCTTTTAGTAGCAGAAGTAAAGCAGCACCCGAGGACGTATATTACTTATTAAAAAGTCATTTTAATTTCTGCATTTAAAAACACACTCACTTTAATTTCACATCATCGACCATCTGCTCTGCATCAGAGAAGTTGAGGACTTGGTCACCTTTAGGAAGGGGCTGAACTGCAAGACCAAAATCGGACGATTTAGCTGGAGTGTTTCACTGAAATGAACAAGTTCTGACAATAATTCTCCTATATTTATTATATTTTATTTATCATACTGTCCATTAAAATGATATCAGCGAAGACAACAGTTTGCATTTTTTCTTATTTGGTTAATGTCACAACTTTTCTACATCTGGCTCAGCTTGGATAGTGGAGCTTCGCTGCAGAATCAACAACTGAGTGGAGATTTCATACAAATCTCCTCTTGAAAACTGCACCAGAATTTGAACGTATTTGATGGAAATGATTGGCTGGCCGAACTCACCGCTCTGGTCGTCCAGCAGGTAGTACTGCTTCAGCAGCTGCCAGTGAACCATCAGGCTCTTGGGGGTGCGAGATGGGTGAAAGATGCCTGGGTGTTTGCTCAGAAGCTCCTGGAAAACGTCCATTTTAGGCTGACTGGTCTGTTTAGAAAAAAGTGGCGTTTGAATAAATCAGAAGTCTTTGTTTCTGCAGGTAAACAAATGATCGGCAGTTCTAATCTGGAAAAGATTGATTGGTTGCAGCCTGCAGGATCAATAATCTGACAAACACGGTACGATTTTGCAAGTTTTACAATAATATGGATGTTACCTTAAAACTTCCAATATACGAGAACATTTCTACTGAAAAAATTTTATGTTTAATTAGCAAGAAATTCACTAAATTAACAAGCGATCCCTGTCAAAGGATTAAGAGATATTGGCAGCCTTTTAAAAAGGTAAAGGCTCTATATTCTGTAGAAAATACACACTGCTGTTAATGTTTGTAGTTCCAGTGAATTAATAAATGATTCAAACTATGAAACAGTTTTCTTTACTTTCATACATCAAACTGGACACTGTTGTTTATGTTGAAGCTAACTTGTAGAAGATAGAATATCTTGTGATGTACAAAACTTGTACATTTTGAGATTTATAAAACAAACCTGTCTTGTAAATAGGTAAATTTGATATAGAGTAAAAAAATGTTTTTTAGTTTCATCTATAGATTCATCCATCCCATAATCCAAATGGGTTTGCTGCTATTTTGTTTTTCACTGACGCAGAGATAGAAATTGTTTCACTTTTACTAAAGCTGTCACATTTTGATCTCGTCCTGAAAGCAGAACACAATCTTTAGTTATTAATAACTTCTACAGAGAAATAAGACCCGACTATAATCCAGCTCAGCCGGTCAGAGCTTCGCAAAATCAGCAATCAGAAATTTATCATGAAACTTCAAACACATTTGACATTCCTTAAGTTTCAGACAACCCAAAAAGACTGAGCGGTCACCAAACAAGTAATTTGTTACTTACTGAGCCAATCTTGGCCAGCAGCGCCTGTTCCCCCTGACTGAACAGAGCTTTGCTTTGGATTGCTGCGATTGCCTCTGGGTGAAGCTGCCGCATGGCCTGCCATGCCAACCTGACGGAAAAACGCAAAAACAGCGACGTGATTAGAACAATCCACGAGGCAGAAAGGATAAGAACACAGAATCAAACAAAGCTCTTACTTGGAGATGATGGGGTCGTACAGCAAAGCATACCACCTCTCTTTAATTTCCCTCAAGGTGAAGCGGCAGCTGAACTTCACTCCCAGATGAACTGAAGTTAGATCGCTAGTCTGGAAACAAGGGACGACACACGGACATAGTGATGAAGAAGTGTTTCACTCACCAGCGTCACATCATAACAGAAAATAACTAAAAAAACAATCATACAGGAGAGCTTATTAGTTCTGAACAAAGTTTTCCGTGCTCACCTGTAGCACAGCATTTATTAGCATAAAGGTCGTCTGGGGGCAGATGAAGGAATGAGGGTAAAGGCTGCTTGGTTTTCTTCACTCTTTTGGGCAGAGGTGAAGGGTTTAACATCACGGCGAGAGGCGGTGTGAGAGCAGTTCCTGATTTTGTCACCTTAAAAAAGATTTAAAAAGAAAGGAAAATACATCCGTTTCTAAAACTATTTCATATTTTTCATAATGCTCTCTTGACAATCTAAAATTTTGTACCTTTTTCTTTTCTATGGGCGAAGGTTCACTGCCCAAACAGCGAATAGGTTCCATGACAGGAGGCCCTTTGACTCGACTGGACGACTTCACCAGGCTGCTCTCTACCAGCTCATCGTCAAACTTTTTTCTTTTTATTGACCTTTTGTTGCAGAAACATTAATGCGAAATAGAAACATTTTTTTAAATGCAGCACGATGGCATCCTTTCTGTGTAATGCAACAGTACCTGGATGAACTTCTCCTTTTGGGAACACCGACTCCAAGTGCTTGTGTTGCTGTCCTTTTCACATCTTTCACACCAAGCGACTCTTCATCCTCCGACCGGCTCTGAACACCAGACACCCCCACTGATGCGCCGACCCCTGGGTCACCAGCCTGCATCTCTTCATTCACTGAAGGAAGCATATTGGAGATCTGATGCAGCATTTCGGTAAATACACTGTACTGAAGCTGAGGGGATATTCAGAGTTTTGTGCTGAGCATTATTTTATACTTTTAAGTGATTCAGAATGAAATTTTTGCTCATTTTTACATCTTAAAGATGTTCTTTTTCTGCACTGCATTTTATTCTTATACATCTCTTGATTTTACAGCTTTTTGTTGTCCCTGTCTCAACATTTTGCTGTCATTGAATAGACAATTATTTTATTTTTTGCTGCAGTAGTACAATTTCCTAACTTATCATGTCCCATTGTGAATAAATGTGGGTTTATGACATTTAAATATCACAACATTCTTTTTTTTTCTCATTGATATTTTGTGTAAACGTCTTCCGAATCGGAGTTGTAGATTTTAAACAAAAATTTTTAGACAGATTTTAAATTTTAATGGACAAATTTTTACAAATGTAATTTTTAAAGACAAATTTTTAACGCCTGTTTTAAATGTAAAATAAACAATTTCTGGGTTTTTTATCAGAAGGACATTTTTGCCCTCACTCCTATTAAATAAAATTAATCTGTATTTAAAACCAGTTGAACTTGTTTGGTTGATTAATTCGTTTTGTTTCATTGGTATTGTTTTTTGAAAAGAAAAATCACAATGTTAATTTTTATATTGATTTTTGTAAACTTTTTTAAGAAGAGAATACAATACTTTATTGAGCATATCAAGGCTGGTTGAGTAATTTCTATATTTAGCACACATTTGTAGCTTAATGACCGAAAAGGGGCTAAAAAAACAAAATAACAACAAAACATTCCCGGTAGTGTCGTTTTATTACGGGGTAATTGATGTTCTCAGTCCAATTGTCTTTCGATGTAAAATTATTACTCGATTCTGATTCACTTTTGGTCAATGTGATTATTTTCCAGTGTAAAAGGGATAAAAATGCCCATCTTGCTCGTTCAATTTGCACTACTCATTGCAGTAATTTTCCATATACTGGTAGGATAAAAATATACTTTATATAATTTTAAATTCCATACCAAGGAGTACCACTGTTTACACCGTTTTACACTGCAAATTCCTATTTTGCAGATAAATGTTCAAACTAAGGATTGAAAACTAACGAAAGAGTATAAATTACATATAGGTTGAAGGTGTCTTATGTGGACTTATAGTTAATGACCTTAGTTAATTGATGAGTTGTTTGTAGCTTTGTACTTCCTTTGTTTACATGCGATGCTAGTTTGAGGCCTTTTTCTGTTTTTTATTAATTATTATTTTTTTAAATGCGGCATAAAGTTACACAATAACATAAAAAAGCAGAATGTTAACCGAGGACAACATTTAACAACAGTCTATTTGGCTACACAACAAAACACCAGAGTGTTTCTTTTTAACGGATCATGTTAGCTAAGCTAACACAGTCATCCTGCGGTAACTAGCGCTTCTTTCCAAGCTAATGAAGGCTAGCTCTGCTATCTTATCACTCACCTTTTATATGTAGCTCGGTGTCAGTCCCTTATAAATCCCAGGTTCAATTTGTTCTTAATTAATCCTCTTTTCCAGAACTACATTGAAACATTTAACGTCCAACTAGTTAGCATTAGCCGCTCGGCTACATTCATGTTTTCTTCCTGGTTTTCTATTAGGGGAAACGGTTTGGCAAACAGTCTTAAGATGCACTACCGCCACCTTGCGGACCGGACCGAGACAGACCCGGGCTGCTTGAAAACGCACATTTTGTGTTGATGTCTGTGGCATCCTATTCATGTGTTTGTTGCGAGTTCAGAAGACCATCAAACACACAAAATAGTTTATTTAGCAGTGACAGCCAAAAGACGGGGCATTTCTTTCCTCTTAGATGTCATCGCCACAGGAACATGTAACTGCTGTAGTAGAAAGAGAAGGTCCATGACTTGATCAAGATCATCAAGAGTTTTTTCCAGGTCAGCGGTTGAACTGTTGGCTCTGGAATCGTGGTATTTTTTTTAATTAAACAAACAACATAAAGTGTGCTCACAGTGCACTGATGAACAGGAAATGTCATAGACACAGGTATCAACTTATATGACTCTAGAAATTTGTCTTTGTAATGCTGCATGACATATAAGATCTCCTTAACTTGGTGAAGCTCTGCCTCCTAGTTCTCCTTGCTGATTACCTAGTCATGTGATATTAGCATAATCTGTTTTTTGATAATTGTATCTGAAGTGGAGCATCAAACATTTTGTTGCAGAATTGACCCTTCTATCTGCATAATGACCAATTAATCCTGCTCTGCCATCAACTGGTTTATGGAATGTTAAATTAGGTCTTGGTCAAGTATCATTTCCCATTTTTGAAATTGTTATTTTTTTGGGGGGGTATTTTTGGTGTCTGATCCAGGGAATGTTGTAACACCCCCAATCAGTACCCCTCGAGCCGCCACTAAACTTCAGGACATTTTAAAACGTAAAATCTGAAAAGTGGCAAGAATCTATTTTCAGTCTCTGCTCACTGGTCCCCAAAACTAAAATCCAGAGTGAGGAATTGCTTTTACAAGTCACCGAATTGGTAAACAGATTTCCATTCATCCATCCATTTTCTGTTCACCCTTGTCCCTAATGGGGTCGGGAGGTACTGGTTCTTCTCTCCAGCTGCGTTCCGGGACAGAGGCGGGGTTCACCCTGGACAGGTCGCCAGTCTGTTGCAGGGCAACACAGAAACATGCACACACATGTGTGTGTATGTGTTTGTGAATTTGGAGAGACCAATTAACCTGACAGTCATGTTTTTGGACTGTGGGAGGAAGCCAGAGTACCCGGAGATAATCCATCATGCACAGGGAGAATATGCAAACTCCGTGCAGAAAGATCCCGGTCCGGGAATCGAACCCTGGACCTTCTTGCTGCTTTTTTCACTCCATTAAATGTCCTCTTCAAAAAGTGATCAAGTCAGATGAGATCAAAATGTAACTTTTATTCTTTCTTGTAAAACAACCAGAGACACAATGGTTTCAATCAAACAAATGTATCTATTGGAATGGCATAGTCGAAGTACAAATATAAATCTAAGGACCCACAAACTGTGGAAAGACTTAAAAAAGATGTTCTGGGCGTACTGTGGTGGCATAGTGGGTTCGCACAACTCGCATATGGAGGCCTTAGTCCTTGACGCAGCTGTCGCAGGTTCGACTCCCGGCCCCGGCGACATTTGCCAGCATCTGTCTCCATCCCCTCTTTCCTGTCAGCCTACTTTCATAAAAATATGGGCCACTGGAGCCAACAAAAACTCCTCAGGGATAAAAAAAGATGTTCACTGAAGCTCTCCATCCAGTCTGCTTGAACTAATTTGCAAAGAAGAATGTGTAAAAATTCACAAATGTGCAAAAATGTAAACTTCCGATTCTCTGGAAGTTGAAAGGTGAAACACCTGAAGACCTCCAGCTGAAATGCAGCACAGGACAGATCTGCAGAGGTCCGTCCTTAATAAAGATGCTTGCCACGTTTCTCACACTTTTATTTGCAAAAGATATTGAAACCCATGCAAAATTTTACTTCCACTTCACATATAAGCACCAACTTGTCCTACCTAGAAAATCCAGGTAAAATTTATTGAAATGTGTGAGATTCAAAGAGATATTTTTGCAAGTCGTTCATTTCACCTTGAAGATTGTGATGCTTTGGGAGCTTTTCATGTCAAACTGCTGCTTTTACCTCCCTTTTGCAGACATAAATGAATGGATGGATAGATGCACAAAGAAATAAATCATTGACAGGAGAGATTTTACATTTTTAATCGACTTAAGTGTCAATTATTGAAATGCATTTATTGACATTTACAGTAGCGGCATCATATTGGAATAAATACAATGGTGAAATCCATAAGATTTTGCAGAATAATGCCCCACTTGTAACTTGGACATTTAGATGAGCTGACACACTGTACTTCCTGTTTCAGGACATTACGTCCACAAATTCAGTGACATCACACAGGTATGTTCTCAATAGCTGCCTTTTAAAGCATTTTCCCTGACAAAATGTACTGGTCCCACTATGTTAATCATTACACCTACACAGCTTTCTTACTGCACTACAATCGGCTCCAATGTTTCAACACAAAATGTTCACATATTCAGGACACTGTAACTGTGCTTAATAGTGCAAGATTTCCAATTCATAGGTTTTACAAGATTCAAGAAAAAAAAAGAAGAACAAATCCACTTAATTTGAGCACGGCTCGCATTCATTCGTAACTTGAACTGATCTAATGAGCCCAACAGGAAATTCTAAAGATTTTTCTCTAGGAACAGTGCAGGTAACTCATGTTTTCTCTGTCACATCTTTCTCAGCATTAAAAGTGCTGTTAAGCCCTCTCCCTCTTTATGTGCCAGCCGGCACACGCCGGGGTTAGGCGGGCTTTTCTAATAAATGTGTCAAAGGTCGAAGACCCGCTTTGACGTGAACCGCTGCGCCTGAGCAGCCTCGTGGTGCATGCGATAACGCTGCCCTGCCTGTTCTCCCACCTCACACGGCCCGAGTAAAGGGCAGCCCGGGTGGCAGGGGGCACAGCTCACGTTCACCCATCGGGATCAGAAGAGGAGTTCATCGTTCAACAAACTGCAGGTTGATGGCATTTTCAGGAACGAGGAGCGTCCGAGTCGTCGGCTTCACAGAATTACCCTGAGCGTCTGGCTTCACCTCAAACTCCATCAGGATCTGACGAGAGCAGGAACACGACACAGCAACTCGAAATTAATACACAAATAAGCAAATAAGTAAGGAAGTCCTGGGCTGTGATGGGAAATCCCTCGGCCACATAATCCAATTAATTGATAAGGAATGAGATTTGCTTAATTACTTTAATCTTCTAATTGTAATTTGTGCTTTTATTCGTTTTACCTAAACATTGAGTTAGTAAACGTCATTAGAAATATTAACATCGTCAGAGACAACTCTCAGAAATAAACTCAGTAGAAAATAGCTGACAAGGTAATAAAACAAAACTGTAAAATAATATTGCAACGCCAACTGTTTCTGGAGCCACGACGTTTATTAAAGGACTGAGGTGACATTTTCCTGGTTTACTGTTTCCTGATTTGGTTCTCAATTCCCGATCTCTGAATTCCGTTTTGTCTGCCTCTCACTCACTAATATGACAGAAAATCCTGACTCAACAATGACAGTAATGGACTATGGCCATGGGTGACACGGTGGAATAAAGACGCCTGTCTTCCCACATAGAAATAGGCAGAAAGATTGTAATAATGTGAGCAAGAGAGAGTGTGACGACACCAATTGTTATCTAAGAATGAAGCCCTGAGGTACTCCACATCTCATTTTTGTTTGCTTAGATATACAACTACCAAGTGGCCCAAAGTAGGACCAGTCTTTCAAGTAAGACTTGACCTAGTTCAGCATTTAAAGAGAAAATTTTTTCTCTGGGGCAGAAGTAAGCTTAGCTGAAAGTGGAAAATAGGTTTTAAAGTCTTAATACAACATAAATTCAACTTCCAAATGAAGTGAAGCACCTTTAAGGCATCCAAATCACTTGATAGTTTCTGATTAAGAGATTAAACAGCTGTTTTTAGCATGGAAATAAAGACAATTCAGATGAAGCTTTCCTTAAAGGCACCAACGTTTATTTGGTGCCTTTAAGGAAAAGACAGCAGCTAGCTTCAAATTTATCCAAACAAAATTGTTACACCTGTTAACAGCTTTAAAAGCAATTAAAAGCAGAGTTACGACGCTCAGATACTTTAATGCAGCATGTTAGCACAGTTTATCTGTTCCCAGAAAATAGGTCAAGGGTAAAAGCAAATCATATTTAAAATCATATTTTACAGTTTTGACATTCAGTTAAACCTGCTGTTAGTTAGAAATTCATCTGATTAATGTGATGTAGTTTCAACCTTGTCCTGCAAACTGAAAGCTGCTAATTTCCCCTTAGATTCCTGTTAAATACCTTCATAAGATACAGAACTCAATTCTTGAACTAGAGCAAAGACTTATTGGTGAAGCTATGCATTGCAAGTAAAGACTTTTCAGCAGGTCAAAGGGTCATACCAAGTCACCTGTTCTCAATGCCAGAAAAACAAAGGATTAAGTTAAGCTAACTTACCCGAGATAGAGCGAGGTAAAGCTCCAGTTCCGCAATCCGGCGACCTATGCAGCTACGTTTTCCCACGCCAAAGGGAACCGAGGCGTAGGGGTGATGAGCCCCGTCTTTGTTTAACCAGCGATAGGGATGGAAATCATGTGGATTCTGAAACACAGCCGGGTCCCGGGATGTGGCAAACTGGCACAAAGTGATCAACGTCTGTTGGAGAAGAAGCTCTAGTCAGATGTATAGAGATACCATTCTAGATTTTTGCAAATTGATTTCTACCGACATATTGAGAAAGTTGCTCTGCCAGCATGTGGATATATGAACCATTAATATTGACAGAAATTACATCAAGATGCAGAAGCTCACTCAGAGGATGACTAAAGCAATACCAGGCTACTTATCCTCCCAAAGCAACTGCAGCCACTGTTTTTTGTTTGACACAAGTGAGTCTTTCATCCCTGACACGAACGTCTTCAGTTCACAAGTTCAAAAGAATCAGAGAAAAACAGATGAGGGAAAAGTCCCGTAATAACTGCTTTCATGCCGTTATTGTTCTTTAGAACAGAAACCCAAA